AGTATCAAAAGCAGAGATTCACCAAAAAAGATTATGCTGTTAGTCTGGTGGGATCACAAAGGAATTTTGTATTTTGAACTCATGCTGCAGAACCAAACGATAAATTCAAATGTGTATGTTGAAGAACTCGAAAAACTGAAGGATGCAATTGAAGATAAGCGGCCGGCATTATCAAATCGGCGGAAGGGTGTTGTTTTCCATCATGATAACCCAAGGCCCCACACATCTTTGGTTACTCGGCAAAAATTATTGGAACTAGGTTGGGATGTTTTGTCACACCCACCATATAGCCCTGACCTTGTGCCTTCGGATTACCATTTGTTTCCTTCCATGCAAAACTCTTTAAATGGTAAAATGTATAACAACGCGGATGATGTCGGATCACACCTAATTCAGTTTTTAAATAGCAAAGACCAAACATTTTACGAACGGGGAATTTTTACTCTGCCAGAACGATGGAAAAGGTCATCGACAAGAACGGCCAATATCTAATTGAATAAAGTTATATTTTTAAACAAAAATTCCGAATTTGCCTTCTTATTTGAAATCGGCAATGACTTAGTTGCCAACCTAATAGATCATAAAATTAACATCTTTTCCTAAATAAATCAGTACTCTCTCACAGGTCACTGGTTAGGTCACTTCCAACTTACTTAGTCAGGTCGATAAGTTTATTTTTCAGAAATTTCATTTATTTTTGTCTTGCCTTATTCATACTACGTATCGATTTTCAATACTTACTAACTTGCTTTGCATCTAGTGTTAGGGCTTAATAAATCCTTAGAGATTCCTGTGTATTCTCATAAAACTATCAGAAGAGTATATCTTTGGAAAATAATGCTCAATGAGAAAAAAATGGACCTTGTTTAACACCTACTTGTTATTTTCAATTACATTTTATTGATTCATGGTGGATTAAGTACGAAAATAAATCATTCTCTCCAATTAGCAGAAGGTACGCCTATTTCGTTAGTGTGCCGATGACACAGCAATTTCAGGGCTTTTCTCCGAAGTTAGAGGTCAGGGCTACGAGATCCATAGGTGAGAGAAATACACACCATTACTGATTAAGGCTGCCTAATGAAGGGGTTGAGGGAGTTCCTACCTCTCAAATTTGAGGCTCTGTAAAGCTATCCCTCTGTCTGACTTGAATCTGGAGCTAACCTTACGTTTTATTAAGACTGGTGCGCTTTGGTAGAGTTCGCAACGGTTCCACAATCAGTGGTAGTGACGCCCACCTGTGCACTTTTCCCATTCCCATGAAAATCGACTTGCTGAGCAAGGAATCAACAAATGTCAACAGACTGAAAGGCTATGATGTTGAAGACCGAGTCATAAAACTTCGTTCTCGTATCAAATGAATGCCAGAATAGTCCAACTAATTAAAATTCAAAAGTTTAAGACAGGGGGTGCGCGATAGACTTACCTCCACGTGGTGCACCCTGGGCAACGTTTACTCATACGGCAAAAAAGTCTATTAACTGGCGGTTGACTTCAAACCAACACGACCCCACTGTATGACATATTCGACCACTTCCACAGTACTACATCACATTTTTTCTAAATTTTCAACCTTCGTCTTTGAAACACTCTTCCGTTCCCCTCCTCTCGACTATTTTTCACTTTGATGTTCTTTCCCCTATGTGAAGCCTGAGTCAACTAAAGAGCTAATGATAATCATCAAAACGCCTGCCATTTGATATAAATAAATAAAAAGTTTAAGACGGTGATATGATGTCCTACACTGTGGTTCAGTTAGGTCCTAAAGTTACCCTTACGTTGTGTATAAATTCATAGTAAGCTAGTCTTATAGTATAAGGAGAAGTTCAAATATATGATAACCTTTATTTATTCCATAACTCTGAGTCTAATTACGGAAATCGACCCTCGGTTTTAATATCTAAAAGTGAGAGAGAGATATATTTCCAGCTTTGTTTTAACTACCCCATTAGTATTATAATCTATCCCTTTGAACCTATTATAGAAGTAAGGTGTAGGGTGCTATTTCTCTAGTTCATTTGATTCCCCATGGAAATAGCCCAGATAGAAAAAATTGGGTATTCAATTTTGCTTTGAGATTCAATTACAAATTGAAATTGGATCATTCCAATGAATTTCCCTCGCGGAGGTATCCGTATTCTCTTTCATTATCTGTGAGATCACGAGCATGAGGTCACAAGTGTTCTGTCATGCCATAAAGGTGCAATGAAAAGTAGTAGTATATTGTTTAATAGTAAAGCAGACGGGGGTTCAATCAGAATACATGTTTATTTCCCTCAATTCGCCAATGTCAACGTTTCAAAGTTTCGTTTGACAAAAAATAATGACAAATACTATTAGACTGAATTTTTTACAACGACTACCCACTTTCAGGCACTTAAAAAGCTGACCGAAGTCGGTACGTAATAAGTTACTTCGATTAATAATGATCGATTAGAGTTCGAATCGAAGATACTTGATAGAGAGGTATACATTCCTGAAAACCCAAATGAATCATCTTAAGGCTAGGCTGCAAATTATTTTGCTTTCAGACATTTGAATTTGCTAGGATTTATTGTTAATTATTAGGAAAGCTGTGAAAACTTGCAATTACTCCGATTGGCTGTTTAATCACTAATGCAACTTTGTATTCATTACTTTTTTGATCCAACTATTTCTTATTGTCGCATTAGAAGTAAGATTATTCATAGCCCAATAGATTTAAATGGTTGGATTGCGGTCTCAATCCACTGTCAAGGCTATTAGAAGATTACCCACTACACCTTACAGTTGGCACAAATATACGCTCTCACATTCTAATCCAAACTCGTTCTATACTGGTATAAAATTGGGTGTGGGATAGACTTACCTCCACGTGGTGCACCCTGGACAACGTATCAATAGACTTACCTCCACGTGGTGCACCCTGGACAACGTATAATCATGCGGCAAAAAAGTCTAGTAACTGGCAGTTGACTTCTATCTTCAAACAACCATCAACCCCACTGTATGTCATATTCGACCCCTACCACAGTACTAATCTTACCCTTTCTGAGCCTTTGTGTCCGTCTGTTTCTTTTACATCTGTGAATTCCTCTTCTATTCCCCCTCCCGAATTCTTCTCAGTTTGATGTTCCTCCTCCCCTCTGTGAAGCCCGAAGTCAACTAAAGGTCTGATGATAACTGTCAAAACGCCTGCCATTTGGTATAAATAAATACTGGTATGAAGTAATCATTTATTAGAATTTAATTAATTTCTGGGACCTCCTGATAATTTAAGCAGAAAGTGACACCAAGGTGGACGATCCAAGTGCATCGGTTCATAACTGTGCATAACTGAGCTCCCAACAAAAAACTTGTTAAATGTAAAGGGAAGTCTATTTTGGAATTTGAAACTTTAAAGATGCTTGGGTTATGCAACTCATGAGAACAGCGGGGAAAGATTTTTCCGCGGGATCTTTTTTAATTGCACTTTCATATCAATCTTGATTTAATTATTTCAGTTTTAATTCCAAAAGAATGAATCATCCATTTTTACTCATTCAAAGTAAAATAAACGAAAACAAGTTATTAAAGTGTAATTAGATCCAATCATAGTAGTGATTAGGTAAGTTTCTCACTTAAGATTCGAATTGGGGGTGGGAAAATAAATGGCTTTGAGTAGGACATTTTTCAAGGTGGTGGGAGGATTCTACTTCAGAACGTTAAGCTAAAGTTAACTCAAGATATCTGTTGACGATAGGGTCAATTTCATATTAAATAAGAGGTCTATTGATACTGTCACCCACGATTCAGGCACTCCATGGAGTTTGCGTTTTGTCATGAAATGAGTGAGACAAGTCATTCAATTGGTTGCCATTTCAGCGTCTCTTTGGCATGGGGCTCTTAAAATCTTTTCAACTTGTCCGTATAGGAGTGAAAGAATAATAGACTCTCTGAATTTTACAACTTTCCATTTGTGCCGCCCGCTGCAGTATTTGTTGAAGATTAGGAAGGCGTTGACCACATTAGTTTCAAGCAATAGCTCAAAACATAATTTTCTGTACCAATTCGTATATTTTCCCAAAGGGCTGTAGTATGAAAAGAATTGGTCTGACAGATTTACTCCTTTTTTACGGGTATTGTAGTCTAGAACACTGTCGGGTTTCATCACATCTGCTCCAGTTCACGTTTTTTTCCACTTGATCTTAGAACATCTGTATGCTCAGGGACTGTGGACAAAGTGAGTACATTTCTTTTATCCCTCCAATTTAGGACTTTTATGTCTTGTTCATTCTTCTTTCCAATAATTTCCCTCCCCCCTTCAATTTTCCTTTCATTACTTCAACTGACAGTCCTTTGAGATTGGAACGGATGGTTCCACATAAGTAAGTCTTATGATTCAGGAGGAACTTTGCCAGGGGTGTGGTTGTATAATAATTGTCTGTGTAGACAGTCATCTCCGTGTCTAGCAAGGGGCTCATTAGCCTGGCAACTACAGACTCTGCTGAACCCAAATTTTTGCAAGATTCACTTCTGCCGCAATACATTTCGAAGTTCCATGTGTTACCATGGGGGGAACACAGCTTGCAAATGTTACAACCGTACTTGTGTCGTTTATTCGACATGCATTGCCTGAAAATTATTCGTCCTCTAAGTGCCACCATTTTTTCATTGATGACTGCTTCATGATTCAATTTGTAGACTTTTTGGTGTCTTTCTAAAAATGGTCATGATATTGGTAGAAGCTTATCTAGCCTGCTTGTTGATGGAGCGCTCGAATCATTGAAATGAAGGGTCCTCAATAGAAGAAAGAATCTATCTCTGTCCATTATCTCACGGATATATTTGACCAGTAAGATCCCATGGAATGTTGAGGATTCGTCCCATGTACAGGATGATTCCTAAAATCTTTTTCATTTCTATGGAAACAGCTGGCGTTCATGAATTCAGTCTTGAGTTTCTTGATAGATTTGGTTGTACTCGCAAACAATCTGCATAATTATTTGTTTCACGAACAATCAATTCAATGATTGCATCGGTCAAAAAAGAGAGTACATATCAATAGGCCAGATTTTCCCTTCATAAGAAGGGTTAGGTGCGATTGACAGTTCTTCCTTCCCAGATAACGAAAACTTTCTTTCATTTGAAGTGGTACTATGCCATACACTTTGCATTGCCGGACTTTCTATTGCCTGAGTTTCAATTTCATTAATGTTTACATCACTAATTTCACCATCAAACTCACTTTCATCACTCGATTCATTATACTCTATACCATCGGTTCCCTCTGGTGAGAGCGTGTCATCTGATGAAATAGCTTCCTCACTGTCGTCAGAAAAAGGTTCATCACGTTTCTTTCTCTTAGATTCACTATAAAAAGTAGGTGCATCCATTATGAACGGTCTGAAAATACGAGAAAGGACGTTTTGAAATCAAAAAAGTATTTTAAAATATATTTATTAGCAAATTGTCGTATCACAGTAGAATGATTAATCTCACACTCTACTGCGGAACGACCAACATGGGGGTCGTGAATTTTATTGCGTCAACGTGAAGAGCACATCAAGAAACACACACGCAACCCCCCCCCCCCTCCCCCACTTCGATATCTCGAGAGGTATTGACGCTGTAGCAACTCAAACGTAATCGCACCAGCCGCCAGCCGGCGGTTTCGGCCATCGCATTCAACGTGCTAAACTAAGTTATTTTCAACTTTTCGCTTTCAAGGCGGTTTATTGACCTAGTTATTGGGATGGTGAGTGGCAAGTGGTATCAAATATGACATTTAATGAAGGGAAATGAAACCTGCATTTATTAAAATAAATCCCGCTGTACTTTTACCCGGACACGGATATTGTCCAGGTTACCAAAACTCAATCGTTTATCTGCAGGGTTTGTTCGCCCTAACCCTAGCCTGCAGAGAACTTAAAATATTATAAACTTGTTATTTAACTTCTGAAAGAATTTCGCTCAAGTGTCCGTAAAATAGACTGGGTTAGCAAAATTTAGTATAACAAAAATTTGGACTTTATCTATGTTAGTATTAATATTGCCATCATCTTGATCTTCACACTCTTCAAAAAAACTGTCTGAAAAGTAATTTAAAGCATAAATTAAGTAAAGAACAATGCAAAATCTTACTTTGTTTGGTGTTCAATTTATTCTTTTAAACAAACATCCACTTCATTATGTGCACTAACTGCCCAGATTTTGGGAAAAGTACTCAAGTTACCGAATGCTAGCAACATGATTGGCTGATTAGGCTTGTAGCGGATTTTTACACGAGAATGCCTTAAATTAGTCTCAGTAATCTCTATAGCATGACCCCCTCAACAATACAAAGGAAGCAGACGTATGGTGTGGAACATGTTAATTTGGGGATGATTCTGTCAGAGATTAATCTGTGAAACATCATCAGGAGCTTGTTAAACAATGCAGTGACTATTGATTGGTGGCTGACTCAGAGGTCTCTGCGCGCACGGCCGCACCTTCGAGACTCTCTCTTCTTGAGCATGAAATTTCTTTGTTCAGTCAGTATAGCGCCGTACGCACCAAATGCTCAATTCCTCCCGCTCTTAGCAGACATCCTGTTCTGTTAAAAGAACTAGATTAAAGATAATCGTTAGAGCACTCAATCCTTACAAAATTATGACAAGAACAAAATGAAGGTTTGAGTTCAAGTAAAGAATAGTTAAAAATATATGTGCAACAAAGCTCTTTGCAAAAGACAGTGAAAATCAATTCTGAACTTGATTAATCGGCATCCTGCTGCTTCAACAGCAAGTACTTGACTCACTTGTCCTGAGGGGATTAAAAAGATAGTACTAACGTTTTCATGAAAGTCAAATCAAAACCACCAATTTCAATTAAGGCAGTGGTAATTATGAGTGCTTAAGCATTTTCAACACCGACCAACTTAAAATTCGGTTTCCAGCTAGTGATCATCTCAAATAAACAGTGGTCAAGTACGCGAAAAGTACAACACTTAAGCCGCCGTATCTATCACAAAAATACTATTTCGTACAGTTCTGGGAACAAGGTATCCCTTAACGCATATAGCTTCTACAAGGAACCACGAAGGATGATCACAACGTGTACAACAACAAGAAGTACGCGGCTACTTATGAGATTACTTGTAGAAAATTTATTTTAAAAAAAATACTTTTCTTGGTCTATGTAGCACATTAGGAAGCCAGAATACTTATGAAACAACAAAATGCGTTCCAATCTATTACCAAGACTGACTTTTAGTTGAACCCCAAAACTTGATTTATTCATAATATTCCATCATTAACAGGTTTAATAGAGCTCCATTTCGAAGAAAGACCTAGGACTGAAGTTACTAAGACATCTGTTCATTTCGGATATCTCCGGAAAAACAATAACTGATTTGGAATTTCTCTTATCGGAAATGGTTCATTCGATGTCCAAACATGTTTAAAATTCCACTGAAAATCCCGTTTCCACGACTCAAGTATTAATTTAATTAGTTACTCCATCGATTTTAAATTAAAGAAGCTAATCAATGGAAGTCCATTTAAGTGCTCTTTGCTTTATCTGATAGTACAGTTATTACAAGATGTTTGGAGATTAAAGACTGGAGACTGTTAAGAGGGGACTCTAAATTCCCAGTAGATTCTGTGGTAAGGTGTTAGCATTCATAAGCTGTGAAGTGCATCTATTGCTACGTCTTTATTTACGAATGTGAAATTGGCAACAGGGGAGGGGGTTAATTCACTTCAATCATTAATTGATTATTCAATGAAATTCATCCAGAGGCACTAAGCAATCCTTATTCGCATAATTTGGATTCATAACAGGCACTACAATTAAATTTGAATGGCTTTTAATAAACAATTCCTTTAGGATGGGACTTCAGAAAGTATGAGAATTAATTTTGATTGGTTGAAATAGAAAGAGTTCATTGGTAGCGAATTGTTTGATAAGGTTTAATGGTACTGAGCAAGGAAGAGAGTGAATCCACGCATGAAAAATTGCTAATCACATGCACATCATGATGACTCCTTGACTGTGGCATGACAATTACGTGTCCGAACAAGGAATTGGGTAGGTCGGCCCCACCTTGTCTTACCTGCTACTACTCTGACTCTAAGCCATTCACCTACAAATTGCATTGCATTCTAATAGTCAAAAATTAGGAGTGTTATTGTAAATGTCATTGCATGGCTTAACCATTTCACTCAAATACCTACATACATTGACTGGCATGTCTCTAAATTGCAGAGACGATACTTGACCCCAGTATGACCAATGAATGTAGTGTCAATGTTCTGCAAGTTGTGTCGCGTTCATGGCTGGATACGAGTACAGACAGGTACTGGCACCTTAATAATTAGGCTCGATAGAACAATCACTGTTTCACTGGTAAGTTATTCTTCACTTATCACTCATAGAACTCTCTAAATAGAGCTTCATAAAGGCACATCATAAAGACAAGGTAAGTAAGGATGTAAGTGCATAATGTTCAGGAAAATCCACCAAGACCTATAACGACAAGGCCTGTTCTACCCAATGATCACAGTGAGCTCCAAGTTCTCCTTCTTCATTTGTGAATGGACAAAAAAATCAATCTCGATATTTGATACCAGCCAACAGTCTTAGATGGAAAACATATTCCTTCAATCTTTGAAATCAAAGTTTTTCACATTCAGGAATTTCGACCTACTCCTCTATTTAGGTAGATTAAACCTCATAAACAAGTTGCATATGATTTTGTTAGGTCAACAATTTATTGGGAGTGAATATTCGAGGAGATCATCAGCTTTTGTAGTCCTTCAATGGGGAAAAATACACGAAGTGATATATTACTTTAACCTTATTTCAAGCGAATGAACTTTCCATCGTTATAATTACCCTTAAAAGGCTATAGGAATGTCTAAAAATAGAGTTATAGTTTTGAAGAAATCAATTCATGCATCAGAATGTTCATTTTTTGATGGCACCTGACATGTTTTGGTAATTTATATTACTCAATAAATGGCGGATAGCATATATGATATTATACAAAATTAACGTGACACTATGAAATGTTATTTCATCCAGAAAATCGTAAATAGTTTGCGAGTTTATGGTGCGGAACACGTTATCGCTTTGTGCGTCATCGCATGTCTGCACGCCAGGATTGGGAGGTGCGACCGTACAACTCTGTGTGCAGCGACCGAACAAACAGTGGCCAATCATCAACCTCTGTTTAACCTAATCCCATACAAACAGTGACCAATCATTAACCTCTGTTTGTTTAACAAACAAACAGTGGCCAATCAGTGGCCTCCGTTTGTTTAACCTAAACCTCCATCCTGATCATGAGTAGCTCCCTGCGTGTACGCTTTACCCGCAATATACGTCCTGAATAAAAGTGCTCCGTGCTACACGTCTGTTACCTTTATGGCTGGGCTATAGCTTAGTTGGTTCTGGGAGTCTAGCTAGATGTTGGAGAATCTGCCACAGAGATTTCTGAGTAGTCAATCTTTATAAAAGTAGCAATCTGCTACAATGGTTGGAAAATTTTCGCTTAGGCAGATGAAGTTGAGGGGGGCTTAAACGCAATTGTGTACTGAATTTCTCCCATTTTTTATTTATGAGGCCGTTCATTAGTCTTTATTGAAATGAAACACCCTCCGTGAAAGTTTACCTTCAAATACGTCATAAAGGTTAAAAACTTTATCTTCGCCTCGAAGTATCTCTATATGCCAAGCCCTCGGACGTTTCCACTTTATGGAGGAAATGAGTAAGGCCCTGTATCTACGCCCTGAAAACCCTCGAAGGGAATCTCCACTTCAGGAAGGAAAGTTCCTTTTTTCAAGCTTCATTACCCATTCCTCGGAAAATCCAAATAGTGTGGTATATGGGTCGAAAAATCGTATCTGCGTCCTTGGGATTATGGTGAGAGAATGATATGTGATCCACTTTCGTAACAAGGATAATAAAAATTTCATTGCATTTTCAAGGAAATTATGTGCTGTCTGACTTGCAAAGAGCGCCTGGCACTTGAATTACTTCAATACGTAGTTTGAAGGGAACGGGTTATAAGTTCAAAGTTAAGCAATTTGGTCATCGATTTGTTTCATTCCGGTTGTTATAATGGGATATTATTTCATTACACTGTTATGTCTACAATCGATTAATTGAAATATTCTAATCTATGATCCACTTTTATTCTCAGTTAAAAATCACTGAGTTCCCCGCGTTATTCACTAATCAATAATGTCATTTTGTGCACCGTCCGAATAGACTTAGGACGCGGTCGATTACCAATTGTGTAGATCTCATGGGAACGGTTATTTATCTCCTCGCGATCACATTGCGTGCAACATGGATGCACTTTGTTACAATCAACTACGAACGAAATTCCCCAAACAGAAAAGACCAAGCA